GAGAAAATAATCGACCTAAGAGAAGTTTTGTTGTTTTGTTTTTACTTTGAGCTAAAGTAAGTTTTAATAAAAATAGAATTAGACCGAAATGAAACAATGTATAAAGTTGATCTTGAATCTATTCAATAATTTGATCATGGTTAATCAACCTTGAATAAGAATTCTTGATCTAGAGTTTGACATCAATTGATCATCTTCTATTGTTATAAAACCTATTTAAAAAAGTGTGCCTTTTTAAGGAGCTCAAAACAAAATTGATGAGTGGCTTACTCTTAATATATTTATGAGAATTGTTTGGAGGAGCAACCTTACAAAAAAGACATATTATCATTGTCAGGTCTCTTCTCTTACCTTCAAACAGAGATAAAACGATTTTGTTTCGAACAAGAATATTTTTCTGAATGTGATCGTTATTTGGGCGACTTTCATCGGAAGAATTATTTTCAATCAGCGCCTTATCATCACTTTCTATCCTTCTAGAATGGTCATAGTTCGACCAAATCAAATGAAAATTTTTGTCAAACTAGAACTTTCGTATATATTCCTTCAGTGGAAGATTCACCTCTTTGTCACCTTAACTTATCGAGTTATAACAATGAGAAAGTTAAAAATGAGTTAGTACCTTACCTGTGGACAGGCTGAATACATCCTAATCGAGAATATTTTCAATTAAATTAATAAATTAAACGATTATTACTTATATATATATATATTGAATATCAATTAATGATTGATCGTCTTCAGTTGATAATGCCATATTAGAGATTTTAGCCTATTTTTAATCAATAATATTATGTTGTTTAAAATAATTATTTCTCGTTAAATTTATTCGATTTCGACTAGGCTTTTCAATTAGATTTGTTCTAAAATTTCTTAATAATATTAATAGGAAGAATAGAACTGTGATTATCATAATAATATCCATCCTTTGAATATGATTTGCTTTTTTTTCAGTTAATATTTAATTGATAAAATGATTATATTATGTTACCTTTGGAGATATAGGATAAATAATTAATTATTATATTAAATAAGATTCTCATATAATATAGAGCTAGTTTTATAATATAGAAGTTTTAATGATTAATATAGCCATTTTTAATTCAATCAATTAATGATAAGAATATTAGATTTTGATTTGAATAGATTCGGATCAACTATTTTATATGATAAATATCCTTTGAACATATTTTATTCGAATGATTTATTTCAACAACAAAAAAAAACAATTATAGAAAATTGAAAAAGAAAATAATCGAAATTGATTGATTTGATCATTATTGATTATAAATATAGAAGAAATTGTTTAAAGCTGTTCAATGGATAAAGATATAATTAACGATTTTATTATAAACAATATCGAAAAGAGAAAAACGGTGAACAACTTTTAAATGAACCTCAATTAAGTAGAGAATCAATTCTATTATAATCATTTTTGAAAATATATATTATTTGTTTTATAGGAATTTTATTTTATTTTTATCAATCTTAAACAAAGACATTCAACTTTTATTTGAAATAAAACAAAAAAAATCTATTGGATCTCGATCAATATAAAATAATCTATTAAAATAGATAAAAAATTTCAAATATTTCTCTATTTATATTTCGATAAAATAATCCCAAGTATATATTGATAATAAGGATATTTAATCAATAAGTACCAACCTTTTTATTCTTTCTATAATTATTAGTTAAAATAATATTTAATCGAACATGTTTAATAGAAGACAAATTATTTAATTAAAGAATATTTTTTTATAATTATATTCAATTGAAATGAATTAACATGGAAAAGTTTTTTTTTTTCTTTAAATTGAGAACGAAAAAAAAAGGATATTAAAATATGATCAATCGTTTGATAGAAAGGAAAACCTATCTCAAATAATAAATATATTCGAAATAGAATAAATAAAGAATAAGATTTTATTTCGAATTAAATTAAAAATGATTAGACTCACTCAATCTATCATTATAGAAAATCCTATTGACCATTGATTCCATTTTAATAAAGATACACCATACTCAATTAAATCAAAATAAGGTTAACACTCAGATCTTTAAATAAATTTTTCTAATTCTCTTATATTATATTTATTGTTAAAATCTATTCGATATCTATATATTTATCTATTGTTGAAGAGATAATTATTTTTAAATATATTCTTATATTTTGTTTTGATCAATCATTGTTACCTCAGATTAATTAGTTTTAACCGACCGATTGAAGACAATGGACATATCTCATTTTGGGTAAAACTTACAAGAATAAATTCATATATGAGTTGCACTTTTTCTTTCTCCACCTTTTCTTTTAATCGAAAGACGCCAAAGGCAAAATATGATCAAATGAAAAATATTTCTTACTATTGTCTACATCAATCAACTACTAACAAAATAGGACATTAGATTTCTATTCGACAAAAATAAATGGTCATTAACTTATTTTTAGTTTTTTAATGACACAATGAAGATAAGAGAAGTGAAGATTTTATTGAGAATAAAATTAGACGTTAGAGTTAAGATATGATCCATTTACATGATCAAGAATTAATCATAAAACATGAAAAGTATCTTAAAAGTTCCAAAGGAGATAATTATCAGCTATAATCTTGAATTTTCTTCATAGGAATATTGATAAAAAAGAGACTCATACTTCTATGGATGTGCCTGTGAACATGATTATTGGTATATTATCTCTATGTGTCTCCTGTTTATGCCTGTTGTGTCAGTGAGGATGTAGCTATTTATATGGTTGTGGATGTGAGAATGCAATATATTATGTTGTCAGATAGTAGGTGGATTAATGTGTCGATCGAATTACTTTTGATTCTCTTCAATGTCTTATAAGTTGACGAAAATTGGTCAGAGCTTATCTAAAAGAGGATAGATTTTAATGATTCGATCAAATTTAAACAAACAAATATGAAGGTTAGAAATGAATGTTATTGCTTTTTTTCTATATTATATTTAAAGGGGAACTGACAAAAAAATAATCTAATATCAATAAAATCTTATTTGTTTGTTGTTTAATTCAAATCGATATATATATATGTTAATTAACAAATGAATTTAATGTCGAGAAGAATATTTAACTGATAGTCTTATTCGTTAAATAATATTATTTATTCTGATAAAAAGTTTTGTTTTTTTTTATAAGAAAGATAAATTCGGTGAAATGAATATTTGTTTTTTTTCCAGTGATAAATCAGTTATTGAAATAAAAAATATATATTAGAATTCTATTTATCGTTCGAGTACTAAATATAACTATGATAGAAAATGATAAACAATAATAAATAAATCATTATTTAAATTATCATTGTTAATATTATTTCAGTTAAAAAGTTCAAATTCGTCTTTTTCTCTCGTTTTTTCTTAAATCTAATAGAGATTTTCTGAGTAGAAAGCTCGAATAAATAAAATTTTTTGTTTGCTAGTTTAATAAACAAGAAAAAAAAACCGATAACGTTTCTTTTTTCATTAAGAAAGATAGAATATTGAGAGTTGTTATTTAAATAATGTTGTAAACCAACTGATTATAAATATATTGACGATTGATTTTAAAAATCAATTTGAATAGAAAATAAATTGAATATCGATATAAATCAGCTTTTATTAATTTTAGTTTTAACTTATTTTTAATAATGTTGAATCAATGAAAAAAAATCAACGAAAATCTAATATATAAATATTTAAAAAATATTTGAATTTATTTCTATATATATATATATATATATGAATATATCCCTATGAAATAATTGTTTATTTCGTTTCTCTCGAATGATTTAATAATATGATAAAAAGAAAAGAATCGATATAAGATAAATATCTAATAATAATATCGAAATGACGATTGTCGAAATTTGTAAAGATAGGTTATTGAGGACAAGATTTATAATCAACAAATAAAATCATTTTAAATATTTATTCAAATATATCATTTAAATAAATTATTTTCTTCAATTTATCTTTAATTAAATATAAATAATATCTTTTTATAAAATAATTAACAATATAATATTTATAATTTTATTTATAATATAATAAGATAAAACAAACATAATCATATCCAATATATGATTAATTATAACATAGAAGACCGATTACTCATTTTATCAATCTTATTTGTTAAATATAATAACCATTTAATCATTTATTTAATAAATAAATCAAATTTTTCAATAAAATAATGATAAATTTTGTTTTATTATAAAGATTTAATTGAAAAGTTTTAAAAAAAAGAGTTTTGTTGACTAATAATTAATTTAAATAAAATAATTATCTCTTTAGTTCTTTTTTATTTTAATAATATATATCAATAGAATCTTCCTTTTTTTATCTTTAGTTGGGTACATATTCAATAATCAACATCAAGAAATATATCCAAAATAAACAATATGATTATATATCAATTAGAATAATTCTTCACGTATATATAGAGAGAATCCTATTGAGATATTTATCATATTTAACCAGACTGATTATATATCCTATTTATTGTAAATTTGATCAATATTGATATATCAGATTTTATCATAGGAAAAACAAATAAAAATAGTTTTTAAATAAAATGAGACGATTTTCAAATAAGTTTAAAAAAAAACTGTTTGTAAAATGCATTGACATGTGGCAAAGATATTCGAGATAAAGGTGAGAATAAAATACGCATTTTATATATGTGAGTAAGGTTGAAAACAAATTTACATAATAAACAGATTTGTTTAGACGAATATATAAAAGAATAGAAAGAGAATAACCAAATTGAGGAATGATAAAAAGAAAACAAAAAAAACAAAGGTTGAATAATCATAGGAAGAGTCGGTGTCAAGAAAAGGATTGGATCATTTTAAATATAATTGGATTAGAAAGTGTAGGAAAAAAAAACTAAATGGCAACTAATTCTAGTATGTGAATAAGATTCTATTAAAAATTGATTTGGAGTGAATATAATATATTCTATTATTGAAAATAAATTCTGTTTTTTTTTCTGTTAAGAAATGTTTGAGAAAAAAAGTGATGATAAAATAAAAAAAAATATTTTTTCATATTATCCAAAAACAAGAAAAGATATTACTTATAATCAATTATTTGCTTTTGCTGGAATGCAAGGATGGAGAACATCAAATGAAGATTTTCATAAACATTTAATACCAATTGATGATCAATCATGGAAACGTTGGTCTTATTTTTCGATTTTTGATGGACATAATGGTTTTCGATTTCTTTTTTATTATTTAAATTTTTTGTTTTCCTTTTTTTGTTAGGTATTGATACAGCAAAAAATGCAGCTAATCTTGTTGATAAATATATAATTGATGCATTAAATCAAATTCGACTAAATCCAAATAATGAATTAATTGACAAATCTCAATTTAATATAAATCAATTTAGTTATATTATTAAAAATAAATTTCTTCAATTAGATAAACATTTATCTACTTTAGTTAATGATCAAAGTGGATCTGTTTGTGTATGTTTATCGATTTAATTATTTATTTGTTTTTATTTTTATTTTTGTTTTATTATTTAATTATTTAGATAGTATGTTTAATTGGACCATTATATATTTATTTAATTAATCTTGGCGATTCTCGTGGAATAATTATTTCAAATAATGGACAAGTATTAGCATCTACAAAAGGTAATTAATCATATTTTATTTTATTTTATTTTATTTATTAATATAAATAAAATTAATTAAATAAAAGATCATAAACCAAGTGTTGAACAAGAAAAAAAACGTATTGAAAAAGCTGGAGGACGAGTAACTCAATGTGAAAATGATGTACCACGTGTTGAATATAAACTTGCTATTAGTCGAACATTAGGAGATTATACATTCGATAAACGATTTATTCCAGCATCACCTGATATTATTCAATATCCAATTAATTCATCAGCATCATTTGTTATTATTGCTTGTGATGGAATTTGGGATGTTATGACAAATGAACAAGTTGCACAATTTGTTTCTCAAAAAGCATCAAATACATCTATTCAAGATATTGCATCTCAATTATTAGATCAATCTTTTATTTTAGGATCAACTGATAATATGAGTATTTATATTATTAAAATTTCAAATTAATGCTTTTTTTTTTCATTTTTATCAAATATATTATTCGGCGTTTTTTTTTTCGTTCAATATAAATTCCATAATTATTTTTCTTAGTTGATCAGAAGTTTTATTTAATTAATTAATATATATTTTATTTTGAAATTTTTCTTATGTTTATCAAGAAAATAATTATGTAAATAATATTTTTTAAATAATAAATTCATTCATTAAACAATTATTCAATAATATTATTATTAATTATAAAAATATCTTCTTTCATTTATTTATTATCATTTTTGTTTTGGTATTACTTTATCAATATGCCCAACAATAAATAAATAATCTTATAAAATACTTTTTACGGATAAATAACATTCCAATATCGATTTATTAAATTAAGAAACTATTTCGAATAGAATTAAATTCAATTATATTTAGAGATTAATCGATAAATATGTTTAAAATAATGCTTTGTTTTTTTATAGATTCGATAAATCTAAGAAATATTTCAAAAGATTAAATCAGAGTTCAACGGACTCCAGTAGACTTATTCAATCTGCTCTTTTCTTCTTTATTTTAATATTTAATATAATGCTAATGTCTTTCGTCCAAGGGAGAAACTAGAACACCTTATCACCCAAAATGATTGAAAGGTACTCAGATGCTGGTTACCTCTTGAAAGGATGCCGAGGTGCCAAGCGGAATAGTATATGGGTGGTATCTTCCGCATCTTTGAGCACTCTATTAACATCTATTAAGGATGCACCAGTTCTAGTCCAATTGAGTATCCATTTCTATTGGATATTCAATTAACTGACAAAGAATTTATTCGATAATCACTATTTCAGTTTTTGACCAAAGATTTTCGGGATCAACGAATCTCAATCTGAAATGAAAATTTCAAAATTTTCAGTTTGACTTTTTTTGCCAAAAAAATAGAACTTTTTCATAAACTAACTTTTTTTTAGTGGAAAAATCTGACTCGAAATTTTGAAATTTTCATTTCAGATTCAGGATTCCTCATTCTGAAAAGGTTTAGTCAAAAACCGAAATAATGATTATCAAATAAATTCTTTATCAGTTAATTGTATAGACAAAAGAAATGGATAAACAATTCGACTGAAATTGATGCATCCATAATATATGCTGAAAGGTACCACTGATGCGGTTCTTCGTTGGGTTGATCTTTATTGATTATGATTCAATATTTGGAAATATTTTATTTATTTGTCAACTCCGTATGAGTAATTAGTAGCGAAGTGTCATGCCCATCGGTCATGACAAATCTTCTAGATCAGTTTCTAAACAGTCTTCGTTGCATTCTTTGCTTATTTTTTTTTCTTTTTCTTGTTCTTTTGTTTCCCTCTTTTCCCACCTCTGTTCACATGAGTCATTCTCTAAGTAGAAGAGCATGATTGCCATGTGATAGATGAGAGGAGAATGCGTTAGAAGAGGGATATATATATATATATATATATATTGTTTTTTTTTCTGTGTTGGAGGTGATTTTTGTGTATTTTTTTCCAAATCTATAGAGATGATGATTTGTCTTGAAGGAGAAGAGTGTGTTTTATTAAGACAGAGTCAAACATTTTCACTTTGAAACGTGATTCTAACTCTGATAAACTTGGAAAATTTTTTTCGTATTACAATTCTAAAACAATATGAATATTGTCATCATCAAGAAAATTCTCTTTGAAAATATTATCCTTTTGAAATTTTTAAATAAGAACATATCTCAAAGAATATTTCAATCAGTTTTACTAAATCGAAATTATTTTATAGAAAAAAAATATACATTTTAATATATTTATTTGTTATTTAATAAATGAACAATTTAATTGTAACTATATTATAAGAGTAGAATTAGGACTAGTTTTGTTATACCCGAACTATTTAATAATATTAAAATAAAGACAAAAGTTATTTAAACGATTTAACTCTCGTTAATTATTCTTAAATAAGTTGAGTCTTTTAAATAAAAAAAAGTTTGTTGTTTCGATATTGATTAGTTAAACAATATTAAACTATGAGGATAAAATAACTCTTATATCATTTAAACGAAATTCATCTTTCGAAAAAAAGAAACATACGAATAAAGTTAAATAAAGATAATATCGAACTTATTATTGTTTTAGAAATAATTATTGTTTTAGAAAGATTATTGATAAAACTATAAAATAATTAAACTAATAAAAAGATAAATATAATTGAAGAAAATGAAGAGTTAGGAATATCGATATGAGAATATTTTAAATAAAATAAAATATTTTTATTCTCTTACATTGTTTCATTATTAATATATTTAAATAAACAATTGAAAGATATTTATTTTAAATAAAAATAAAAATCTTATTTATTTAAAATATAGTTAGAATTCTATGAGAATTCTATTTAACATATATTTATTAATTATACTTTCGAGGGTTTTTTTTTATTTGTATAGAAAAAAAACGGATGAATAGATGAATCTTTAATAAAAATAAATTTGTTAAATTGAATTTAAAAATAAATGTTCGATTGTTAATTCTAATAAAAAAAGATAATGGCGACATGGAAACTAAAATTGAAAAAAGTAAGGAAGTCATACAATGGCTTGAGAAAAATATTCGATACAATCCCTCAAAACGAGATTAAGATAAGAAGAAGACTATTTCTAGCTTTTTCTTTTCCTCAATTCATCTAGCTATTTTTTTGTTTTTTTCATTTTATCGACAAACAAAAACAAAAAATTGAACACGTTTTTGGAACAGGTTTAAGGATGGTGTATTCCCTTTCGGGTTATGATGATTTCGCTACACTCGTGTTAAGTCGCGAACTTTCTTTGCGTGACTATTTATTTAAATATTGAATAAGGTTTAAAAACTATTTAGATACAGCCCCTCAACCAGACACTTACAGACAAATGTTGACAGCTTACTTCATTACGAAATCTCCGTTTAAAACGTATTGCAATAGTAAGAGCTTTAGGAAAAATAGTCGTTTCCTTAAAAGACTTGCTGAATGTGCAAAACATATATACCAGGATGTGATATCTTTTATTGATATTCATAGAGAACAATATGCATTTTTCAAAAAATCAAGCTTAACTCTAGAATACTTTGTCTTGAAATATTTCTATGTTAAACCATCGTAAATAAATAAATATGTATGTGAATCATGACAAAGATTTTAAATCTGATTTTTATGGGTAGAAGGATTTTCTTTTTTTTTTTAAATATATATCTTTGTAATGTGCGTATAGATTTATGTTCTTGTCAAATGTTAACCTTTATGGAACAATAAACTGAATGTTTAAAAAAAATGGCCTATTGTTCAATGCGAGAGAACGGTGTTGACAATGCACATCCAGGTATTGTCCATCGTTTTGAAGATGTTGTTGTTGTTGTTGTTGGAACGTGCGTTTCCGTATCATCATGAATTATATGAGATTTACATGGTATAATCCATCGATTATGTTTTTTATTTTCTTGTAAATCACGTGTTCTTGCATCATTAAATTTTTCTTTAAATTCTTCATGATCATGATTAATCCAATTTTGAGAATTTAATAAAAATTCTCCATCGAGATAACCAACACTTTCGCATACAATACCAAATAAACAATCTTCTAATTGTTTACCACCTTCAGCCATTTCTATATTGTGACGTGATGGAATTTTTCGAGGTGGTGTTCGTTCATAAAATGGATTGAATGCATGTTCTATTGTTGTACAACGTAAAACATGAAAAAATTCATGTAACATAATCACTAATAATGCTCCAAACATAATTAAATTATCCTTCAAATTTTTTGCATCATCAATTAATTCTAATAGTATAATATTTTTATTTATAATTATTGTTCTGTTGAAACATGTCATGGCACTAAAACATGTTGATAGGTTGGCGAATACTATGCCACGTTTCTCAATTATCTCTTCAATTGTATTATCAATGATATCTTAAGAAAAAAACAACCGTATACAAACTAAATATCATATTTACTTTGAAATTTAGGAGAGAACGGAGGAAAAGGGTAGTTACATTAACCTAACATGAACCTTTGTCTGTCTATAGAGGATATCCTCAATGATATGTGTACGGAATAAAAAAAATCCGGTTAACTAATTTTATGAATTATTAATTAAGTTTAAAATTAATTAAATATTTTATGTCGGAGAACATTTTACAAATTCTTTCTGGTGTATCAAATGAATGTTAGAGTTAGTTGATTTTAGTGTAGTTCTCTAGAGAATTATTTTTAGATATCATGTCATACAAAAAATTATATTAAAGATGACTTGCTTTTATACTATTTTATTATTAATAAATCATAATGCATGCTACATAATTATTGAACGTCTAGTGGAAAAAAAATTAATTATTCTAATATTAGAATCAATTAAAAATATCGTTTTATACATTATTTGATAGAGTTTGGAAAATTCTATTGACTAGTGAAGACATGTTTTTTGAAAAAAACTGTCGATATTATGGATAACATGATAATAGTAGACTCGTATTTTAGCGATTTTAAACATTCTATTTATGTGTACTATTAAAATGAAGATAATATTGAAAATGAACATAAAAATTGAGTTGTTTCATGTATTTTTTTATCTGAGAATAATTCTGTCAAAATAGCAGCTATAGTTCATCTTAACATTTTTTTGAAATACTCTCATTCAGTTCTTGCGATATACTATTCTACAAAAAGATTTTATCTTTACATAAAACAATACTTTCTGTAATTCAATTTTCAATGTTGATTTCGAGTATCGTATTCAGTTTGCTTGTTAATAGAAATATAATGATTAAAAAAAATCACCAAATACAAGTCGATTGTCTAAGATAATATTCATGATATGGATGTTTTTCAATAGTGATTAGTAAATTAATCGATATTTTTTTAAATTTTATTGTATGATCAA